TGTTAAAATGGACCTGCCTCATCGATGGTCCCTGTTCCTGGAAGCTTTGGCCACAGACGCCTGGATGCTCTCCCCTACAGCCTCCTACACACACTGGACTCAACAAATCACCGACCTGTGGCTTCAGGGAACCTTTCTAGAGTTCTCCCCCTTCGAAATTATCTTATTCTCTACCCTCTTTTGGATCCTGTTACAAAATCCCCAATCTCCCCCCAATTCCTCTTCCCCTACTACGCCCCCGTCCAGCAGGAAGTAGCTTGAAGATCACGGCAACCCACTCCCCACAAAAGAGGAAAAAGGGAGGAATGTAGGGACCCCATGGGCGCCTGAACAGGGACACACCCTGGCAATATGGCGCCCTTCCTGGTTCTTCTCCACAGTAAACAAGCCCGCTGGCGCCAACACCCAAGCCCACCTGTGCCAAACCTCAGCCAGTCACAGGTCAAGGCTCACCTCCTGCCCATCCCCGTTCAATCAGTTACCGCCCCATCCTCTCTCTCTCCCGCCCTGGAGCACAGCACCCTATAAATGTACGTGCAGTCCTTGAATAAAGCGGAACTTCTCTGGTGAACTGTTAGCCTGGGTCTTGCGTGCTTCCTTCATCCGTGCACCCCTTCATGGGGCCCAAGGGGAGCGGCGGTCCCGGACAGAGCGGGTTCCAGAGGGGGTCCTGGGCCCAGCCACCAGGCTCCCTGGGGCACAGCTCCCGTGGGTTCAGAGGCGAGGGGCAGAGCCTGCCTTGTCAGAGCTTCAAGTATGTGAAACAAAGTCTGCACCAACCCTAGACACCCGCAGAGAGAAGGGGATGCACGTGGACATGACCCTCTGTAATGACATGCAGTGGTCAGGGATCTGTGATCCCTGTGGAAACAACACTTGATTAACAGAACTACTGACATCCCAGGCCAAAACATGCAAAGGCTGCAGCCCCAGAGCAACGATGGAGTGAAGCTCTGCTGCTCAGGGATGAGCTGTGGCTGGGCCTGCGCCATACCATCCCAGCCTGAGCCCTGGCACTACATGCTCCTTGCTCGCCACTGCTTTGGTTCCTACTCTGCTTAGTGACTCAGACATGCAATAAACCATAGACAGTGCGTTTGTTTCCAGCAAATTCAAAAGCACCACTAGAAATATGAATAACGTATAAAAAATGGTGCCATTCTGCAATGTGACTGCATAAAGGAATCCACACCACTCCAGAGTATCCTGGTGACCTCCAACTTGAGGCTCTCAGCTGGGTGGGATGTCCCCCTGCAGGCAGAAGCCTGACTAGTGCCAGGCCACTGCCAGTGCCAGCACACAAAGGCAGGTGGTCTTGGTTGCATGTGGCTGACAGGTGGCTGCCAGCTTGGAAAGATGGTCAGGACCCATCAGAGAGCCTCGGGGGAGCCAAGAACTCAAAAGAAAGGAGGCACTTCATGGGACCACATCCGGAACCACAAGAAGGTAACACAGGGGACACCAAGGCTCAGGGACCCACCATGTGCAGATCAGGAGAGGAAAGAGGGAAGCACAGGGCCCACATGGAGAAGGGCGCAGGGAGCAAGGTTACGCAACACTCTGATCCCACACAGCATCCAGGAGGGTAGGGCTGTAGATGAATGTTGCCTCCAGGCACGGGGGGTGGGGTGGGTTATGGGGCTTGTGCTTAGGAGATTGTACGGCAGGAGAAGGCAACAGAACTAGAGAAGAAACATTTGCTTCAAGAGCCTCTGGAATTGACACAGGACAAAGGCGAGGTCGGGTGTTGGTAAACAGCAGAGCAGGCGTGATCCTGGCTGGCGGAACCTCATCCCTCTCCACACTACATCCAACAAGCAGCCTTCCAATCCTCTCTGGCTGCCTAGTGTGAAGAGAGCTTTTCAAGACCCATTAAAGTGCATGGTGACCCTGCTCTCAAGGACTGACGTTCAGAAAGTCACTAAAGAATATGATAAAACAAGAAAAGAGAAATGTGAAAGATGACAAGAGCCAGACAGTAAGAGCACCACCCATGCCCCTCTGGAAGGCGGGAAGGGTGTGCACTGCAAAGCCCTTAACCACGACAGCCCTGGACTCAGTGGGACCCAACCAGTGCCAAGATTTGCAAATAAATTAGTGACCTGAGCACTAAAAGCGAGCACAGCCATCAGATATGCAGAAGCCGCAGTGACAGCTGGAAAAAGATCAAAACTGTGTTGACTTGCCACAGCTCAACAAAGTCAGCAGAAAATCTCATGCTAATGGTCACGTGGATAAAGCAAGCAAGCAAAGAAAACAGCATTAGCAAAACACCCGCCAATTCGGATCAGGGGATGTCCCACATGTGGAGACTGACAGCCACCTCCAGCAGGTCTCCAGAGCCACAGTATGTGGAGGAAGGTCTGGCCTCCGCAGAGCTCTGCCCAAGTGGACAGGGGATCTGGGCATCAGCTATGCCCACAGCTCTAGGTGACGCCAATGCACACTCTGGTCAAGACATAGTGAATGGCCAAGAGGCTACAGCAGGAGTGGTGGAGGCAAGGGACTGGAGGAGGAGCAATGTGGTTCCGGTTGTCCTGGGTCGGAAGGGAGCTCGGAGCCAGGAGCAGGTGCACCAGGAGACGACTTAGTCACTTAGATGGAAGATAGGACTGCGCAAATGTGCATTCATACCAGCTGGCCACCCCCAGCAGACCAGTGCCAGGCTCTGCCCAACTCTCACCCCCAACATGCCTCCACCTGGGGGAGAAAGGCTGGCACAGGAGGGGCCTGATTACAGCCTGCCTGTGCGCCCACAGTCCAGCTCTCCTCCTTGGGCCACAGTGTCCTCTCTGATGAGGGGACACCGGCCCAAAGTGAACCAGGGACCAGAGCCCACACACACTTGGGCCATCAGGAACACAAAACACAAGTTAGAAAACCAGTGGTGAGAGGCCTGGAGCCCAGATGCAGGCAGCCTCCTGACTGTTCAGTCCGACCAGCACTTTCTAGGCAGACCACCTGCCAACGCACCAAGCAAGGACATCCCAGGTGGCATGGCCATGTGGGGAGACCACGCAGAGCAGGGCAGCCCTGCCCAAAGGGCACACTCACCGTTGTCGAAGTCGATGTACTTGGTGATCTTATGCCAGGTGCGGTAGTAGAAGTGCCGGACCTGCTCCTTGTTCTTCACCATGCTCGCAGGCCTGCCCTTCTTCCTATACTTCAGAGCGATGTTGTTCTGGATGGCTTCAAAGTCTTTCCCATGCTGCAGAATACAGCCCACAGGACAAGCACAGGGGTTAAAACAAAGCATCTTTCTGTGTGATGTGGATATTTTCCAAGAAAGGAGAAAGGGGACCAGTTGTGGACAAGCAAGATGCTCTTCACAGCTCTTATCTATATATCAACCTCGCATCCCTATATATATCTATATATCAATCTCGAATCCCTATATATATCTATATATCAACCTCACATCCCTAGAGCTTAGGTTTTAATTAGGATAAAGTAGCAACAAAATTCAGGAATAGAACTATCACAGTACATGGATATCAAAAAGGCAAGAACCCTCACTATGGTCTCAAAGTGTCCTTTCCAAAATCCAGGTGTTGCCAATGTGATGGCATGAAGAGGTGGGGCCTTTACAAGGTGACCAGGCCAGAAGCCTCCTCCCTGGTGAATGGGATTTAGACCCTTATAAAAGAGGCTTCACTCAGCATCAGGCTCTCCCGCCCTTCTGCCTTCTGCCACGTGAGGACTCGGTGCTCGTCCCCTCTGGAGGAGTGTTTAGGGCACCATCCTGGAAGCAGAGAGCAGCCCTCACCAGACACTGAAACTGCTGGCACCTTGATCTTGGATTTTCAGCCTCCAGACTATAAGAGGTGAATTTCTGTTCTTTATAAATTACCCAGTCTCAGTTGTTTCTGTTTTAACAGCACTAAACAGACTAAAACAGCCCCACAGCAGGAGAAACATAAAGCTCATCATTTGGACAAATGGCTTAATCTCTAGAGTGCTTTAGAGACCATGAAATGATACACGTCCACAGAGAAAATCACTGGAAGACAGTTTAGCAGTGGGGGAGTTCAGGGTGCTGCATATCTGGCATTGCAAATAAAATAGATAAAACAGATCCACCACTCAGAAATGCTCTCGCAGCTTCAATCATATGAGATATGTTCTACATTCAAACAGGGACAGCAGATCTGAACATTCAGTAAGAGAACTAGCAGAGCACGCTCTGATCACACCTGTGGGTGAGCCCTTCCCTGAAATCCTCCATGCAAAAGATGAGTCCAACTCAGATTCTCAGAATGAGTTTATGTGCCAGAGAACAGACACACCGTCAGGCTCTTTCAGGTACCACCATAAAGAGAACCAAGGGCTTGATGATCTCACCAAAACCAAGCTGGTGAGAAGCACGGGGACGGGTCCAGAGCCAACAGCACCCCAGCATTAGCGAGCGCCCCCTCCCCCAGACCTTGGTTTCTAATACTGCCTTCCAAACAAAACCAGGCCTCCTTAGAGAAATGGCTGATTCCAGGGCTGGGGCGGGGAGAGGACCAGGTGAGTCTGGGATAACTTGTGGTGCCAGAAAGTGAGAACATGCTTGAGGAGGGATAGGAGCAGGCCGGGAGGCTACCAGTGGTCAAGTCTAGAACCATTTGGGCAAAAAAGTCAACAATGATATGACTGGATTACGACCCATAGAATAAAATAAACTTCCATGAGTCTATATGGGCATAAATAAATAACTGAATAAATACATAAATGGGGAGAAGAGAGGGCTCTTCCTCGTACACGTGTTCCAATCGGTAAATACAAAAGGGATAATGGGAAAGGAAGGTGAGCACTGGGCAAACAGCGCAGTGATGGCTGTTTCGGGTAAGCAGAAGCAACAGCTGCTAAAGTTAGTGGGAGAAAGAATGAGAAACAGGGAATGTACATAGTCTCAAAGTATAGAAAATGACTTGGCAGTGGAGAGACCTGGCAGATGTCACTTGAATGCAGCGACCAAGGATAACATCACTAAGTCTCAGACAGGTCACACCACACACCTCTAGATCAGATGCACCGAAAAGAACATGTCACTGCTGTGGAATTCTTGACAGATACGTGACATAAATTTATCGTGAAGAAACTGCACGTAAGCCTGAGCTGGTGGACGTTCCACAAACAACAGGCTGGGAGTCTTCAACAGTGCCAAGATCGTGAAAGGCAGAGAGACGGACGGAGAGGGACTGAGATGGGGAGACTGAGGAACTGTCCCAGGGCGCAGGAGACCCAGGAGTTATGACGACGAAGCACAGCATGAGACCCCAACGCAGAACCAGACATCAGTGGGCATGCGTGCCCACCAGCCTGAACAGAGCCTGCAGACGGGCAAACAGGCTCGTGTCTGTGTGCGTCATGACATCAGCATTGGAGAAGCAGGTGAAGGGGATGGGAACTCCTTTTTGCAACTTTTTAAAAGACTGGAATTGTTTCAAAATGTAAAGAAAATAAAAAACCTAAAAAGAAATTAAGGCCTGTTCACTGTTTGAAAAAGTAATGGCAGGTAAAACTTAAAAAGGCAAAGTTGTGTCTGAAACACCTTCCTTCGTGTCCAGCTCAGATGCCACCTGCTCCCTAACACCTGCCTCAGGAAACAGGCGCAGATGCATCTGGGTCCCACTACTTCAGTCCGCAGCCGGGTAGCAAACCAGAAGCCTTAACTGGCTACCAGACTGGGACCAGAAACTGGGATTTGTGACTCCTGCCCCGTCTTCTTAACATATGCTGCCATTTTAATTCTTGTGGCATCTGTCAGCATATATCCTCTTACAACCCAACTTTTTACTTCTCTAGTACGATCATAAGCCCCTCACGGACAGGGTTGCTCCATATCTCCAGCACCACACAGTACTCTGTACCTAGCTATGAGCTAGATGACAAATGCTGGTGGCGACAACGACAAAACACAGGCAAAGCTGAAAGCCAGAGAAAGCTGTTCGAGGTGAAGAGCTGGACACGCACAGTATTTAGATGAAGTTGTGGAGATGGTAAAAAGCCAGACACCATGCAGCTGCGTTTGCAGGGGATGGGGAGGTGCAGGCAGGAACAGAGGAGGGAGTGTCATGAAGTGCACTGAAAACAAGGCTGTTGTGACTCCAGACATGAGAGGAACAAGCACAGGATGCTGGCAGTATGGCTGCAAGAGATGCAGAGAAAAACAAATATGAATGGACAGGCGCACGGACGTGAGCAGGGCAATGAACGGAGCTATGGAGACCAGAGGGTGTGACAAGGTGGAGGCACAGAGGAGGGACAGTGCACGACGTCTGCCCAGGTGCCCACCATGCTCCCTGCCAACCATGGTGCCAGGAACCGTACCCCTGGCCACAAGGAGGGGTCGGACAGGCTGTAACTCCAGAGAAGCCAACATGAGTTCCTGCCCGGGGCTGTCCTAACCAGGGCAGGGGTCGGGGAGGCATTGTTGCCTCTGCAGAGTGACTGAAGCAGAATAGAACTCAGCCCATGCCCGGGGTGACAGACTGAGGCCTGAGCCAGCCCCTCCCAATCCCCCAGGCCTGAGAGCCACCACATCCTCTATCTTGTGCACTCTGCACTGGGTTTCTGTCACTGGAAGCATAACCAAGTCACAAGTGTGCATCGAAAGGCAGCGACGGCCTCAACGGACATCACGGCAGCGTCACCCTGCAGAAGGGGCTTATGCTTGGCCACCACAGTCCCACAGCTCCAGAGTTTACAGGCACACTCATCCCAACTCGTCTGCCACACATCAAGCCCCCACCGGAGCCCACCTAGTTTTGGACAGACATGAAAAATGACAGACATAAAGTGGGCATGCTCACACGCTCTCTCTCATACATGCAGACACACAGCACGAACAGTGGAAAGCACTAAGAGATCAGAATGGCCAATTATTACTAATCGGGGATTTCAGAAGACCTCAAAACAAACTCTACCTGTTAGAAAACTAAAACCTCGGGCCGAGCCCGAGGCGCACTCGGGAGGGTGCGGCGCTGGGAGCGCAGCAGTGCTCCCACAGCAGGTTCGGATCCTATATAGGGATGACTGATGCGCTCACAGAGCTCACTGGCTGAGCGCGGTGCGGCTGGGCTCAAAAAGGACACAAAAAAAACAAAACTAAAACCTCCTGTTTTAGTCTGAGGTAGGATGAACTACTGCACCTGAAGGAAGCAGAGAGCAGGTCACAGCAAGGAATTCCCCCGCCACCTTTAACTGGCAACTGTGTCCCACACTCTGCTTTCTGCATCCGGAGAGCCAGATCCCCTTGGAGAGCCCGCCCCACAGGAGTAATTGTGTCAGGTAAGAATCAGCAATGGCTGCTGATGCTGAGAACATTCCAGGAATCACACGCCTTCTGTGTCTAACAGTTTAAAGAAGGTATAATTTGGGGATACAGTCTATATAAAACCAGCCTCTGCTTTCAACTCTCAAAGGGAAGATAAAGAACATGTTTGTATTGTTTGGAGGAGGCATCCACTGGAATAAGCCTCATGGGCACCCTGCGCTCCCCACGGACAACTGGGGTCAAAGCACACCGATACACTCATCCTGTCCAGCTGGGATGGGCAGAACTTGGCAATACCAGCCATAGGAAAATCCTGTACTGAAATCAAGTCTGCTGCCTACATTCAGAAGTGTCTCTTCTTCTAATTTCTCTGTAAACAATTCATGGTTTAGATTCCAAAGACTTGCTCCTTCTTTGAGCCTTCTGTTTCCTAGGCTTGGCAATACTTTTCCAACCTCCCAATTAATTAGCTATTAAAAGAACAAGGTTTGTTGATTGAGTCACCTACTTCTGACAATATATGCCAAACAAGTGGTCTAAAAATTGGAATGTGTGTGAAGATGTTCGCTGTAGCGTTATTTATAACAGCAGAATCTGGAAGGAACCTCGACAGTCAACAATACAAGGAAGGTTAAGCAGAGCGGAGACTGGCCAGAGGGTAAATATTAGCCCACTTGGGCCCCTTAGCGTCTGTTGTGAGTGCTTAACTCTGACGCTGCAGTTACAAGCAGGCACAGACAATCCACAAGTGAGTGGGCACGGCTGTGCGCCAACAACATTTTATTTAAAAAACAGGAAGTGAGCGTACGGGCCGATTCTGTCTATGCCTGAAGTAGAATATTTATAGGCATTTAAAAAATACTGAGCAAAAGAACTATGGAACACCAGGAAAAGTGCAGGTAACGTTAATGAAAAAGTATGCTCGCAATAATCACAAGGATTTAAAAAACAAAGCATGCAAGTAAAAGCCAGAGGGGAGTCCGGCCATGTCCCTGAGCAGCAGGGATAGACTTTCTGTTCTGTTGCAGGTTAGCGGTAACATCTCCTGGGGTTCAGCTGGCTCCTCTGACCAATGTGGCAAGTCTCCCCTTGCCCCCTCCCCACTCGGGACAGACCCCCAAGTCAGCCCACTCAGCTGCAAAGGGAAGGCCCAGAGCTTAGAGGCTCACTCTCCAGTTGAGCACATATTCGAGAGACATTGGGTAAGAATCTTGGAAAATAAATAAAAGAAGCAAAAGAAAAGTGCTTCCTGACAGCCACCACATCAGTACAGCTTCTAAAGTCACAACCAGGAGGCAAAAGGCCTCCTGGAGGGCAAGCCACATGAGGTGTCCCCACGGGAATCCGCTGATGAAGGCATAGTGCAGAACTCAAGGAGGCTGGCTCCAGCCACCCCTCCCCTTGGCTCACTCACCTCGTACAGCCCCTCGAAGAAGGTGTTCTTGTCCTCGGTGCTCCATGACTCCCACTGACGCCGAACCTTCTTGCCTTCCTCCTTCTCACCACCAGAAGACCCTAGGTTCCGGGAGGAGGAGCGCGAGCCCCCTGCAGGGGCGGCAGGGGCAACCCCAGACACACTTCCAGATGATGATCCGCTACCATCAGCTCCTTGGAGAGAAAGGACCATACAGTGATCTGTTCTGGAGAGCTGAGAGGCAGGAAGGGGAAACTAGGGCAGGGGAGGGGGAGGGCCCCAGCCCCTCGGTCCCATGGCACACTGCTCAACCCATGATGCCAGTGGGACAGTGCCAGGACCCACCAGATCCCAGCAAGGCTGTTCAACAACGACAGACTCCTAACCTGACCAAGTGACTCTTTCAATGTTTTTACAGTGGAAAAAAATGAGAAAGAGGGTTTGCGTGGAACCATTTAATGGTATGATGATCCTGCAGCGTATGATGTACCGTCCCACTGAGACACGGAGCCTTATCCCCTCTGCCAACCAAACCTCACATCACGCTTCACTTCGTCTCCTTTTCCCATGAGGTTTTGGCTGAAATATTCTTACCATCTTGTCAAATCAATAAGTTGAACCTCAAACTCAAGGAAACATTTAAACATGTGTAAAACATTATTTTCTTTTAGACGTAATTGATACTTCAGATTATGAACCATTTAATGCCTAAGAATCTTTAGTCTTAAAACTCCATATTCTTGATCAATTTCCACCAACAAAATCTGGTGTTCTGAGAGTGATCCAACAACCTCACGAATTTCCTTAAAGCATTAGTTCACAATCTCAAGCTGAGTCCTTTGAAACAGTGCGAAAGGGGAGAATACAATCATGTATGACAAGAGGCTTCCACCAGAGCCCAGGACCAGAGCTCTGGGCTCCTGAGAGGATGCAGACAATAAACACAAGTTAAAGGTCACAGATGAAAACTTTTATGACCAAACCCAATCCTCCCCCCAACTCAGTTCCTCCTCTCAGAGGGGACGGGATCCCCAGTGCGTCCGTATGATCTCCACATTCTCTTATTGAACTGCAGGACCATAAAAGGCTAAAGAACCTTCGAACTGGGAAACAATCAGACAATAAGGTGAAAAGAGATCATAAAAACAAAAATACCTTAAAAAGCAAAAGCCAAACAAATGTACATTATAGTTAAAATGTTTTCCTAATGAGATAATCAAGGGCTTTTCCACCCAAGATCAACTTTCTGGTTGGGGGGGCAGGGGAGGTGGCTGGGGACTCCCTGGCAGCCACGTGCAGGCTGGAGGCTCAGCCTCCGAACGACTTTCACAGAAGACCATGAAAGACAAAGAAATGAAAAACTAAGTCCCTTAATCCACATACACTTGCCAAGACCATCTCTTGGCAAGACCATCTCTGGAAAAACACCAGACACCAGTGCAGGGCTGCCTGGGAGCCTGCGGAGGAGGCAAAGACTCAACCCCACCGCGGCAGCTCGTTGAGCCTTTGGTGAGGGGTCTGCATCAATACTTTGAAATACTTTAAGTATTTGAAAACAGTTAATCCCATCAGTCAGCTATCAGAATGTGCTTTCACACATGCAGAAAAAACCATCCGGCCCTATGGAGTGGCTTTGATTCTCCTATTTGGGCAGGTGAACCAGTTTAGCAATGGCTAACTTCCTGAGGCAATGAGATAAGGCATATAGAAATTGCTGTTTTATCAGAGCCACACTGTCCAATTTGGTAGCCACTAACAACATAAGGCTATTAAATTTGAGTCCTGATTGATTAAAATTAATAAATAAAAAGCCCAGTTGCTTGTTCACGCCAGCCCCATTTCTGGTGGTCAGTGGCCACACACGGCTCGTGGGTACTGTGCTAAAGAGCACAGAATGTGTCTATCCTTGAGGAAGTGCTGCCAGACAGTGCTGCACTTGAATGTTTAATGTACAGTCTAGAACTCACTGTCATGGAACGAAAGATAAGCTCACAGGAGTCCACCCCCATCCCACACATATAGCAGGAATGTAACTCAGGTATCCTCTGGGCTACAAAGTGGGCTAAGGAAATATTCGACATACTATTTGACTCTGTCCATTTCTTACCAGACTAAACCTAATGAGCCTGGTGCTCCCCAAAGTGTTTCAACAGGTGTGGCAACTGTGAGTACATTTCAGGAATAAGTGGTTTCATTCCATCTCTGGTAGGCCAGACATGCTTTTGCTGCAAACTGAAGAGCAAGTTCCAGATGCCACTGGAAACACAGCTCTTAAATACAAGATGAACTGGCTCATTTGGAGCCTGTAATTCCTCATGTGTAGTCATCTGAGGGAAGGGCTGCCTGGCGACCTCTGCACCACCCACAACAAAGGAGTTCAGAGTAATTTTCCGTTTCTTAAGAAACACTCACTAAATGCTCTTCTTCCAAAACAACTTGCTAACCAGCCCTACTACTACAGCTCAGGTTTACTTCTGACAGCCCACACATGGACTTCAAAGCAACTGACATACATTTTCTACAATTCCCTAATTCCAAAATTGCTAAATTTTGTGAGATTTTACTGGATCACAACACCAGTGATCCCAGACAAGAATGAACAGCAAAGGAAAACAAAATGGAAGCATTTGAGCTGAAAGGATTGAAGGGACCTTAGAAGCAAAGAGTAGGATAAATCAAAGGGGTGGATGTGGAAAGAAGGTACAACAGTAAAAGCGGCCCTGATGACGCTCACAGGGAGGCAAGGCAGCCCTTGGATCAGCAAGCCACACTGCCGCCAGCCAGACGTCAGCTGCAGAAATGCTCCGCCTTTCCTCCTGATGTCTCAGAAATGACACGTCCTGAGCAGGGAAGAACAAAGCAACACAAACATTCAGAAGAGAAAGCAAACCACTCCACTACCCACTCCTGACAGTTGGTAACGATTTTCTAGACTTTGAATGCTTTTTAAAGTAGAGCAGAATCACAAATTCAGAGTAGAAAGAGAACGTGGCATCTGCTCCACCCCCAAAACTTAACACAAGGAAGTGGCTTCGTTGCTCTACCTCCAGCTAACTCACAAGTGCAGCATAATGAACGTCGGCAGTGGGGCCAGAGACACTGGTAGAATACAACAGGGACCACCTGGGAGAGGCCACCCTCTGTTCAGAAACACCCAGATGAAAACAGAGGGTGATAACGGAAGGGGAGGAGAGGAGCCAGAGATGGAGAAGAGGGCAGTCTTGAACAAGGCTGGCTTGACACAGGGCTACTCCAGTGGAGGGAGTGGATGTGAGGGGCCCAACAAAAAGCAGAGGGTTGAAGTCAATGGTCCATCTGTGCCTGTGCTTCTGAAACCACACAGAGATTCAGCAATCGTTTGTATGGTAAGAAGTCAGTATCTAAGAAACCCAATGTGAAATGACATACGAGGACAGGCTCCAAGAGTTAGCTCTTTGAAAGCAAGAACAGCGTCTCACTCTCCCATGCCTGGGCCAGGCCTCCAGTACAGCAGAGGCTCAGGAGCAACTCAGGATCTGTGGAGCCCACAAAGGGGCCTTCCAGTACTCCACTGCAGTGGCCTCCCTGCGTGCCATCACTTGCCCACGTCAGCACCATGGTGCTCCAGCTCCTCTCCAGCTGCCCCACAGCCACACACCTTCCCCTTCCTGTTCCCACTGTGACCTTCCCAGGCCAGCTCCGCACCACCCTAGAGAAGGCCATTTCAACAGCCTCGTGCCTGGTCTCCCAAACCTCCAATTCCTGAGCAGCCCCCTCTGCAGAGTCTACATCTGAGGGACACAGTCACGTGGCCATGGTCTGCCACCCCACTGTCCATCCCTCCCTAGCTCCAGATAAGCTGGACCACCCTCTCCTCTACACGTTCTCCTCCCTTCACACACAGCCTGGAACACCATCACCCACGTCCTCACACCACCTTAGGAAGACAAAACTATTTCCATCGTTCAGATGGGGAAGCTGAGGCACAGGCAGAGTGGCTCGTCCGCTATGCTGCACAGCGGCCTGGAAGTAACAGAGTGTGTGTTTAAACAGCACCTTTAAAGCACATTCCAGTATACTGCGTCATCTTGTCCCCACAACATGTAGCTGCTGTCCCCATTTCAGAAGAAACTGATGCTATAAGAGCATGAAAGTGTAAAGGTGGCCAGGCAGCAGGAACGAAACCAGAGTGCAGTCCTCTCTCTTTCCAGCCTGCCACACCGTCTACACTCCTGCACTGAGCAGTGTGTGCTGCCCTGATGGTCGCGAACCCACACAACCCCATGGCAGCTGCTGCTTTACTACATGCAGAGCCAGACGATTGGAGTTTCAGAGTGGAGGAACGTTGACTGCGAGGCCCCTCCTCAGTTTGTGAAAGATGAGAAACCTGAGAGGTTAAACAACTCGCCCAAAGTCACATGGCTAACAAATGGCAGGCTAGGACTTCATGGGATTTCTACCTCTTAAAGACATAAACAAAGAAAAACATGCGACTTAACTTAGGTAAGATACAGAAGATGTCATCACAATCCATCATATTCTATAACACTACCTCTCTCTCCTGGAGTTTTCTTTCTGCAGTTTGGTGAACATCCTTCCGAGGATCAGGAACATTAAAATCAAGAGTGACAGAACACCAACCAACAGCGAGGGACTCAGCAGCTGTTCCAGAGACAAGAGGCCTCACATGAACACACGAATTGAGTTCAGCCAACGGAAAGGCATCTCCAGACTCTAGCTCCGGGAAGCGTCATGGCTGTACCTGCAGCATGATCGATCAGGTACCCTTCATGGGAAGCCCAGGACTGCACAAGCAGCAGAGGGCCAACACATCTAGCTTAGCTCACAACAGGCCATGGCCGAGACAGGAGGCAACTTGCCCTGGAAGACTGTAGGTGTCCCTCTCCATGTCAGGTGCTGGGACAAGCAGCTTTGCTTCAGAGCCCTGGATGTGATCAAGGGGACACCATCTCTACCAAGGTCACCTACGTGAATACATCCAGCAAGCCAATTCCCTGTGAAGCATCAGCTCAGCAATGAATGAAAAAGCCTTT